CCCCCCCCCCCCCCCCCCCCCCCCCCCCCCCAATTCGTGATTCTTAACAGATCGTCGTTGGAAATTCCGTTATTGCTGAAAATAAAAGTCTCAAAGTTGCACGAAGCCAAACTGAGTGTATACCATTGTTCAATCTTGCTTAAGCTTCTGTTTGAAGAAAAGGAATGAAGTTGTGAATTCCATGTTTTTAGTGGTTTTTTCAGAGCACAGTGTTCTAATGCTCGAAGAAGTTGACCGTGATGAAAATGCCGGTGGAGACGCTTCAATCAATGAAGACATTCCTCCTTGCCAGTACGAATGTGGGTACGATTGCTCGTTTCTCATCAACCATAATTGTAATACAGTACTTGGAATCGGAATTGATTTGTAGATCTCGATCACACTGCGGATGTGCAACTGCATGCGTGGGGAAGTAGCCTAACCGAAGCATTTGAACAATGTGCTGTCGCTATGTTCGGTTACATGACCGAAATAGATACGGTCGACATGCGAACAACGCAGACGGTCGAAGCCAATGGAGACGATATGCAGAGTCTTCTTTACCACTTCTTGGATGAATGGCTATTTCTTTTTTCTGCAGAACCATTCTTCATCGCGAGAGTGAGTCGAGTACCCGTATTTATGATGATCGAGATTTTACGATAGAATGTGAATTTCAGAAAGTGAAGATTTTGGAGTTCGACGCGGAAAATTTCAAAATAAAGGCAATTGGCTTTGGAGAGGAATTCGACCTAGCCAAGCATCCGCAGGGCACTGAAGTGAAAGCGATCACCTATTCTAATATGCAAGTGTTGGATTCGGGAGAAAAACCTGAAGTATTCGTCATAATCGACATTTAAATTGTTCATACCTTCACAAGTGTGATCATCTTGGTATTTTCTTCATAAAATGAGCCGGTGTTTTCAATCCAACCACAATTCCGGTAGCTCGTGTGAATTTTTAAAGAAAAAAAGGTATCTTAATTTGCAGACATGGTGAAGCTCCAGTTTGCCCCGTTCAACTCGATAGTCGAGCCTGGTTTTTGGCATTGGTTGTCAAACTTGAAGCTTGAAAGTTTGAAGCTTAGTGAAGAACCGGTTAAAATTCGGGGTTCGTTTTATTTCGATCAGAATAGTAGTGAACCCAGGTTTCGATTGGATCACGATCAGGCAGCAGAAGAATCCGTGAGTATTCCAACGGATGATGATGTAATCTCTTTTTTAACGTCTATATTTTCTTAGAATGTTCGTTTTGGCCGCGTGAACGTTCATGGAAAATTGAAATTGTTCAACACTAGGGAAGCTCTGAAGAAAGGAGTAATTGCTTTCCCTTCAAAAGACGATTTGGAAGATATACAAAATACCCTGGATGTATTCTTGTCTTTGGTGTCGAGTCATGAGGCACCTTGCATGTTCTGGCTGTTCGCTTTCGCGGATATCAAGAAGCACAAGTTCGAGTATCAATTTCATTTCCCGGTTCTGGGTCTGCCGAGCGATTCGTTTGCATTCGAGAACTTGTGCTCCCTAGCAACGAGTTGCGTGAATGACCGGATGATATCCAGTTTGATGAGTTCGGCGAGAATTCAACTACTGCAGTATGTGAAAGAAATAAATGAAGAATTCGTCATTTTGGATGCCTCTGGCGGTCTGATGGACGGAGAAGATGGCGGATTTTTTGTGATACCTGATCCTTCCATCGCGGAGATGTCTCCTGGGTGGACAGTGAGGTTTGTTTCCTCTGGCAGGTGTTGAAATTTGAAATTTTCTTGTGCGTTCATCGATTTGAATTCTCTGTTTCTCTTGCTCTGCCGCAAAATTTAAAATTATTTTTAAATCTAATTTGAAGATTTTGATCAAATTCCTCACGTGTATTGATTTTGGTGCGTATATCGAAGGAATTTGGCTGACTGAGTGAATATATTTATGCATGCCTGTATTTGGTTCATGTATTTTGCGCACGATTAAGATGCGAATACGTTTTCTATTTTTTGAAGACATTAAGCTGAATATATTCCCCGGAGACATTTTCTAGAAAATAGGAAAACATGGTTTTTATAAGTTTATGTTTGCTTTGATTTTCGATACCGATTTAATTATTTTTATCTTTAGAATTCAAGCAGAAAACTTGATTTGTTGGGTTGCTCTTCATGGGATGAGAGCAGATGGAATAGACTGATTTTTATGTAAAATTTTCTAATGACGAGCAGTTCGGTGATTTTTCTGTTCCACCAACTTCTATTTGCACAGTAAACCCCTACCCGAAAAATTGTAATCCATTTAGAGGTAGAAATACTGTACTCGACATAATTTCGAAATCGCCGTCGGAAATGTTTTCTTAGGAAAGCGTTCAACCTGTGTGTTTTGAGATATTTGGTTTTTGAAATCGGACTTACGCTCCGCGGAATCCGCGTTACTGAGCTCGAAAACTTTATACAGTACTGTATATGCGAGAGCATTTACTTTCAGATCAGCCCTGACAGCATTGCGGCTTGCCTCACGACGAGAGAGGCGTGTCAAACTGGTCTGTCTTCGAGGAAATCCTGCCAACGCCTTTGAAGCCTCGTCCGTGATTACGTTATCATTTCCGAACGAGGAAGTTTCTGCGGAATCTTTGAAATGCTTCGGTTGGGAAAAGGGAGGCATGCGTGTTGCAGACCTCGGCTCGCAAATGGATCCGATAAGGCTCGCAGATTCGCTCTCCTTTCTAAATCTTAAGCTGATGCGATGGCAAATGGCGCCTTCTCTCGACTTGGAGAAAATCGTGAACGCGAGGTGTCTGCTGCTGGGTGCCGGAACTTTGGGCACTAATGTTGCCCGAGGCCTTTTGGCTTGGGGTGTGAGAAATATTACTTTTGTGGACTCGGGAAGCGTTGCTTATTCAAATCCGGTTCGTCAGTCTTTGTTCGAATTCAAGGATTGTGATGGAACTAGGTGAGTCTTCGGCCGACCCAATCTTCGGCGTGAACTTATCTAATGCTTTTTTTTTTCGTTGTAATTTATTTTATTCTCGTATGGTACTTTTAGATATGTCAAAAACGTGTGATGTCAATATTTCTTGATCTAGTATTCTAGAGTGCCTAGGGAGCCAACAAATTCTCACTTCTTATTTTATGATTTCAACTCTGATACGTCGTCAATTCTCTGAAGAAAAAAAAAATTAGTACAAGTCGGATATTTTGCCCCAACCACTCTTCGTTTAAGTGGCCCACAGTGCATAATGAACTTGTGTCTGTCTTCTTCCATGACGAAGTTAAAAATTGGGCCCCTTCAAGATCACTGAGTTCATGGCGTGATGCAGTAATTTTAGAATGACACGAAATGGAATTATTTATTTGCTTTGATTTGCTTCTCTTATTAAAGTACGAAAGTCTCCTAAAACTATTGAAAATGGTGAATTCTCAAATTGGATATTTTTTCAGTGTATGCTGGATTGGGTAGGAAATTACTATAAAAGCGCTAACTTTCAAAATATAATCTTGCAAAACAAATATTCGCCACCCTATTAAAGTATTAATTTCTCATAAATCGATTTTAGATGATGAATGCTCAACTTATATATTTCTTCCCTGTATGCTGCAAGGGACAGAAGATGTTCAATTCAATCGTGTTGAAAAAAGTCAAATTATAAATTTGAATTAAAAATGGAAAAAATGGTCCTTAACTTTCATAGTTGTCACATTTTTGCATTTTTAAAGTCGCGTCCCATTTTTTTCATCTTGCAACCGAAAATGCCCTGATATTTTGAGGTAACCTCGTCCTACCTTGACTCGTTGTTCATCCTACGCCATAAACCCATAACTAGTCATAATGTACAGTATTTAATATCCTGTTCTAATTATTTATTCTATGGAAATCCATTCCTGGAATCGCGTTTAAAACTCGGCAGTATATCTTATTTCAGATTCAAAGCGGTTGCTGCAGCAGAAGCGTTGCGCCGTATCTTGCCCACTGTGATTTCGGAAGGAATTGTGATGACGATTCCTATGCCTGGCCATGGTGTAGGTGGCGATCGAGACTCGATAAAGCGAAGTGTCAAACAATTGGAAGAGCTTTACGAAAAACATGACGTTATATTTCTTCTGCTTGATTCGAGAGAAGCGCGTTGGTTGCCAACAGTACTTGGAAAAGTCAAGCGAAAAATTGTTCTCAATGCAGCGTTGGGGTGCGTTCGAGTTCGTTTTGCCGTTATATGTACTTGAATGGAGTGTACCGATTGTCGGGTTATGACAGTTTTTCCCTATTAAATCGACAGGTTCGATTCATTCCTCGTCATGCGTCATGGCCTAGATTCGGATCTCGGGTGTTACTTTTGTACGAACGTTTCCGCCCCCGGAGATTCGTCGGTTGATCGCACGCTGGATCAACAATGCACCGTTACTCGTCCAGGAGTTTCCTTCATGTGTTCTGGATTGGTGGTCGAAATGATGGCGTCGATTTTGACACACCCAGCTGGAATCGATGCTCCGGCTGCTCCGGAAAATCCATCCGAGGATGATCGCGATGATGATGGATGCTGTCTCGGAATTTTGCCTCATACGATCCGGGGATTCCTCAGGAATTATCATCAGGTGCGGAAACGCTTCAATCTGGTGGGCAAAGGCTATCAAAATTCGCTTCTGGTGTAAAGAGATTTTAACGTTACGAACACCACCTAGCAAATGCGCTTTTGAAGTTTTTTTGTTTTGTTTTAGATTTGTTTGAGACCGTATGCGAAAGTTAGCATTGAAATTTTCTTCCTGCGGACATGGTCGACTCGTGCGTCCTTTTTTTCCAGATATTTAATGGATGACCGGCAATTTGAAAAATTGAATTCAGGATTTTGAAAATCATTTTTAATCCAAGGGATTTTTTGGCTGAACCGGCTGAGTATTCATAGCCTCAGTGCTTACGGAAGAAAGAAAATGCTCTCTACAAGCACAATGCGTAGAATTAGACAATTGTTCGCGGTCGCTTTTAAAATACCAAATGGGGCAAAGTTTTGGTGATAATTTAGTCGTCCAGGGAAAAATGTATGCATTGTACAATACTTAAATTTTACTCATATACGATTCAATTGACGTATTACTGGGGAAAAACGGAGAACAGCATTTATTTTATCCCGGCCGAAGTAGGACGTACGACGTGGTACGTATTTGCCAGTGACTGCGTACTTTCACCCACTCGACTAGATGCGTCTGCACTTCGAAGCTTGTTACTGTCGCTGAAAATATTTATCTGTGAAGCTAATGTGTTCGATGTAAATATTTTAGTACTGTACCTATTGTGGGTTGCTCGTAACACCTTGTCATTAAAGTGAATTCTAAATTTCAGGGCGACTCGTGTGATATAATTTTATATTCCTGAATTTTATTACTAAAGTGAAATATGAATTGAAGGTTACCTCACGTGGTATAATTATATATTCTTGAACTGCAGTTCACTCCAGTTACGCCGTCGTTCGCACAATGCGTGGCGTGCTCCACTTACGTCATGGAGGACTACGTCAAACGTGGTGCGGATTTGGTCCTGGACGTGATGAGTGATCCTGCTAAATTGGAGCAGTTAACGGGTTTAGATAAACTGCAAGCCGAATGTGAATCTGTGGAAGTGTGGGCGTTCAGTGATGAAGAAAGTACAGGTAGCACTGGGGGTGGTGGGGATAATAGTCCTTGAATTTCGCTTTTATTTAATCGTATCTCACGCATACATTATTTTTCGCGATGTGGGTGTTTGGTTGAATCGATGATATTTATCGTATTTTTTTCTACGGTGCTTCATATAATGCACATACATGTGCTATTAAAAACTTATCAATTTTCTTGATTTCGCGATCCGTTGCTTTTTTTTCTGGATTTTTGTCATTTGAATTTTCTCCTTCGCGAAAGATTGTCGATGAAATGGCTGGTAGAGTGTTCACTGGTCTTGCGTCTTCTGGTGGTCGTCTTGGACTCTGTCAGACTTCTGTCTTATTCTCAGGTGAGTTTCAAGTATTTTCCCCCCAAAGATTCCAGATTAATTCTTTGATCTTTTCTAGGTTGTTACCAAAATGTGTTCACAAATCAGCAGAGATTCGTACGCTACCGTAGAGTTCGTGTGAATATTGATATCCCATGGACTCCGAAGGTGGAATGGCATCCCCCGATGAGAAGTATGATCCTTCAGTATTTGCCCCGCAATACTGGGGATTTGGAAACTTTCCATCCTGTTGAATATCGGAAAACTTTAAATGACCGTGGACAGAGCTTCCCACCTCATTTGAAATATTCGACTTTGTTGGAAAAGTAAGACGCGATTTCGAACCCAGTTGAATAGCAATGGTGACACTTCTGCTTCCAGGGCTGACGAAATGACGAAGGCGATACTCTCTGTTGATATGCTGGGAAATGAAGCCGTTTACGGAATTTATTCTTCCGATCTTACTCAGCGGGTGCAGCGTCATCCCCTTGATTCGGATTCCCTGCCAGCTCAAAGTTTGTTCCAGTGGTTTGACGATTTCGCACAAGGAAGCATTCGTATCCACCAGTATTTTTAAAACCCCTCTTCTTTTTTATTAAATGGGGAAATTGTTTAATGAGGGCATTTTAAAATAACTCATCCCTGAAAAATTTTCATTATAATTTCCCCCGCAAAATAGAAGGAAATAGGTTTTAAACGCAATCGAAGAGCACTGATGGATCCGAAAGCTTGAATACTATACAGCATATACTGTATAAACTCACTCTATAAAAACTTCTATTTTTAGGAAATTTTTCAACGAATTTGTAAATAATGCAGTAGGGTTTCAATTTTTGCGACAAAACAGTTTTGCAATTTCTCCCGCAGTAAAAGGTAGAAAATTATATCAAAAAATGGGAACCCGGTGAGATCAGAACTCTTCATACTGTCGAAGCCCCTTGAGGGGTGGCGTGAAAGATTTGGTCATTGCCTACGAAAACATCGATTACCAAACGAAAAATAACTCAATAAGACATGAATCATCAAACCTTTTAATTGCGCTACCTTCCAGATTGTTTTGTGTCATGTCGTGTCCTCAGTCATCTGCAGGACACTGCCAGCATTTACTGTTGAAAGAAAGTGAAGTATTCTTCGTGAAACTTGACATCGTGTTGAAACTTGAATAAAACCTGTTCCATTATATGGTTTATACCTTTCTGGACACCCGACGTTCGGGTTTCACTGGAATCGCCGGGCTTCAAAATCGAAATTAATATCGATTGAATGGGACGATATCTCACGTGATAGTTTTGTGTTGATTTAACTTGATTTTGAGACAAAGAGAAGTTCAGATTTCATTTTTTCACCACGTTAGTCTCCGTTTTCATTGTTATTCTGCAGTTGCGGAACTGACCGCTCGAATAAGATGGCAACAGTTCCGATTGTTCAAGCCAGAGGCAAAACTTGAGGATGCTCCGATCACGATGCATGGAACTATCGATCCCAATTATTTCTTCAGAGAACGAATGAGAAGGCGCCAATTCGTTCGATTGGCCCTTCGTGATGCGGTTGAAGCTCGGAGGATAGCGCTGGAAAAACTACGACAGGAAGATTACCAGTATTTTGAATTTGTTTTGGAAAGGCTGCGAATTTCCTATAAACCTCTGCCTGTGTAAGAAATCGAATGTTTTTCCAATTCCAGCCGCGCCGTTTCATCACTAACGTGTGTTTGATTTTTATTTTTTTGTAAGACTCGAACACAAAATTCGCCGGAAAGAATGCATACGTCGATTAGCTTCCGAATATGTGTTGCTCTTGAAAAAAGAGCGTCGCAATGCGGTGAGTTATCCATAGCATTCGAAGTACAGTACAGTAATGTTATGAATTTTGATGAATGAAATTGGATGACTCGTTTTTCAGTATGCCATGGAACTCGCGTCCCAGCAAGAATCGTTTTTGAACGAAAAGATCGAAACACTGAAATGGATTCAAGCTGAGGAACAAGATTTAATGCTGGAGCCGACTGTTACTGTCGAAGTTCTTGCGAATGCTGCGAAGCAGCTTGAAGAATACAAGAAAGTCGCTGCTGCCAAAGCTTCAGCCCTGGGTGAAGCGAATTTCACTGACAAGAATGCTCCTAACTCGCGTATGAAACGACCGGAAGATGTTACGAAGCCATCAAAGTTTCCTGTGGGGCTATGGCCGTACGATGCTTTCCAGTTGGACGAAAATGTTCTTGTTAAGGCTCATCATAATGAGTTCAAAAGCTTCCCAAAGCCTGAGAATTGGGACGAGCGGTTGTATGATACGCTGCAGAGGGTCGATTAACGTCAGTGTTGAAATTTCGATGCTTTAGGAAATGAATATGCGACCTAGCTCTTCGTTGTCTGTTGAATGTTCGCTTTTGAAGAAGCTTTCTCACTTGTTTCTGGAAATTGTGGAATTCATTTCTAAGCTTGTATTTGTGTAGAGATGCGGTATAGTCTTCTTCATCGCTTCGAAGCAGTGGTGATTCAAGTAATGAATGCCTCATGCAGCAGACTAATCCAAGAAAGTTACATTTAGAGCTAAGAAAGATTACCCAGTCAAGGGACTAACTACAGTACATACCTTACCACGAAATGTGGGACAGCTCACATGCATGTCTCAAACAAAACAAAATTATGATGCTGCAAGTATAAAAGTTTAGCCGATTTTTATACAAATGCTTCACACGTACATTCTAAAAACAGTTGACATTTTTATGTGCTTACCAGAGTATCATGTCATTGGAACTTCGAATGTCAGGAAAGGAAATCAAGTGAAATTTCTACACATTTGTTCTGTCTTATTGACGCATTTTGTATGAAATGTATTTTTCGTCGTATGTTACCACTTTTCCTTTGATAATACTGTATTACTGTGCGATACTGACGTACATATACAGTATGGTACAGTTAAACGGCAATTAGACATAGTACCAGGGTTGGTTCATAAAAGATGATAAACAGCCAAATGCCCTGGTTAGAGGTGGATGCAATTTTTTCTTCCGCTCCTCAATCCTTCATTGGTGTTCAATGAATGTTTCATCCACTTACTCAGCTACAGATGGAAACAAGAAAAAGACCTCACAGTCAATGTTCTCCACTAAAGTGAAGTATAATGGATCAATATTGATCATGGAGCATCCAAAAGCGCAGCTCCTTGTCTTGATCCATTAATTAAACTTCACTTCCATTAATTAATATACAGCCCCAAGATGCATAATCAGGTCTTTTCAGTGTTTCCGAACGTATATTGGACTGTCATGTTGGCACTTAGGTGCAGTTTTTGAAATGAAATTGAATGATTGCAATTTTTTTCCATTTTACAGAGATCTTGGCCGATTTTAAAAACCTGAGTTCATGTCCAGATGTTTGTCTGATTAACAAAACAAAAATTTAAATAAACTATATCTACCATCAGATTGTCCCATTAAAAGTCAGCTCCCCCCTGCTGCATAGTTGTGAATAGGCTCATGACAGGGACATTGTTGCATCGTAGCAAGTGGGTAAATTGAACGGAGCTTCTACAATACCATAAATCATTGCATTTGGGTGCTTCTCATCACATGGTTCATGATGTGATGTAATGCAACAGTGGCTGAATTGATGCGGTCTGCGTAAAACGCGATCAACGTCGCTGACGAAGGACTGGTCCATCGCGACATTTAATTAGACACTTATCTCGTCAGCTTGGCATTATTGATTTAATCCAGTCCCCAGTGTAAGTCTTGGTTCCATGTGGGTGACATCGAGCCAACACAGGGAAAGGAGTTCTTGCACGATGATGACGGGTTCTGTTTCTCGATTGGATTTCTTGATACAGTAGATGGATGTGTCCAGTATTAGCTGCCGATCTTGCAGGGCCCTGTATATTTACGTGAATTTGTTCAGTGGGACAATTGGGTTTTCGACTTGAAATGTTCAAAAGGACTCTCTGTGATACTTAAGTTTCGTTGTGCTTCAGTTTTTTTTTCTATTGCGTAAAAAATATGCGAACGTCGTACCGCTGGAAACCTCCTCGCTATTGCGAACGAAGACATTAATCTTTAGTCGATGTGCTTGAGGCTCGCGTGATACGTACACGCGAATGTTCTTGCTTCTGCAATTATCTTAGCGGCGTTTCGACTGTGTTTTTTTAGCCATGTATTGAGAAATGATTTATATCTGTTCACTGTTTAGAGAAAATTCGTCATTGAATGGCTGAAGAGCCGGGACGTGTAAAGATTGTGAGAACCCCGCGATTATATCGTTGCGCTGCAAATGTATTTCGTGGAGTTATTGGTCGCGACGCGTCTCTGAAAGCTCTTATTCACAGTGTGAAGCATCCGGTGAGTTTTCTTCATCTTGTAAAGATGAGAAAGAATGACGTTCAGGATGTTTGGATTGATTTCTCAAATCTGTAAACTGGTTGTAGATAAACTATTCGTGAAAAGGTTGTCCGTTGAATTTACTGTGAAGGATCATTTTTGAGCCACTGTATTTAATCTCTATACAGTTCACTTGTTCGTTATTTATTCCGGTTTTTTGAATTACAGAACAAGCGTGGAATTCAAGGCCTTGTTTGCAAGACTCTACAACATTCCAGTGAACTCGATCACATCCTCGAAGGCACGGATTTTCTGTCGAAAGCAAAAGTAGACGAAAATCTCGGAAAAGTTTTGATTGCCGAGCTGCTTTGGGGGAAGGGCTTTGTTCAGGGAGATTCTTCTGCCGTCAAAGCAGTCCGTAAGAAGCATCAATTCCTTTCGAACCGTTTGAACAGCCGCCGGACGTGTTCAGGCCTTGAAAAGGAATCTGCGCCCCATTTTGGTGAGTGATTCAGTTTTAATGTTCAAACTTCGTTGATTACCTTTGAAGGCAGTACGCATTACTGAGATTTTTTGGGTTTGCCTGAATGTATCGAAGAAACAGATATTATGCGAGAGTATTCGTTGAGTATTCTTATTCTTCCTATGAAAACTACTTCGCGAGATTTCGCATTTTCAATCCGCTTTCTGTTGTGAATCGGAAGAATCCACATTGAGTCGATTCCTGGTAGGAAAGATATAGAATCTATCACATTCTCTCTGAAATATATGCTTGTCGGAATGCAGCTACATCGAAATGGAAATTTTTGAAGGGATACGACTTGGCCTCAACTTGAATTTATTCCATGCGTGTTTCCGTCAAATCTCTTTCTGTATTCAAGAATTTTTTTTACTGCATTTTTGGACGTTATCTTCCGTGAACTGTAATTGTCAACGTCTGGGTGATACACTGAGATTGATGTTATGGGGGAATTTCCAAATCACCGAATTAACTGTTTCGCTTGAAAAAATTCTTCTATCCGCTTGAGTAATGTAGAAAATACATTTTAACGTAGATTCAAGTAACATTGCAACATCGGGAAATTGCCCTGTGTCGAATGAATGAGCAACCAGCCAACATTTTAAAAAAGCAGTTCGTCGAATGACAGTACGGTACTGTCATGAACACCGCTGTGCCCTTGTAAAACGAAATGCACCCACCGAAAATCATCATCCTTCATCAATTATGAATTATTTCTGATTGAAATTTTGTGAAGAACATTTTTACTTCTGCTTTCGTATATTATATTTAACCCGAAAGAAAAACGATGAAGTTTTGTGAGAAAAGCATTTTTAATTTTATTAAAGAATGGTCAGTGTCTGAATTTTGCTGGGTGCTTTTCTCTTGGGATGGTTAGAACCTACCATGAACTTCGTCAGGGGTGAAGTGGAAATCTAATACTGTATTATGTGTGTTGTACTGCAATCACGATTAGTGAATAGAAAAACGGGTTTCACGTGGGTCCGATTCTACACCATAAGTTTTTTTTTTTCTTTTTAACGAGACAAGAGTAGCGCATGCTCATTTCCGACGTTGTTTCTAGCGGAGGAATAAAGCTCACTTTGAAACCGTTGGCGAGATGGAAAATCAAGTGGATACCCGCGGACAACCCGCCGTCCCCGTGAATAATCCCAGTAGTGTACTAGCCGGACTGGCATGGTACAGTTTTCTCATGATGACTATGCCTCTCGGTGTTTTCGTCGGCATTCGACGCGTGGGCGATGATTTTAACCTTTTCGGCGATAGCAAATTCCATAGTTACGCTTGTGCTGCGATCGGCGCGGTGTTGACGGTGTATTTGGTTATTGCCAAGTATGTGCATCGGGCGTATGTTGAAGATTCGCAAGAATCTGTTGCCGACGCTGGGGGCGACGTGGGCAGATCACCAGAGGCCTCGCAAACGCTTGCCCCTGCTCACAAAAAGGAAGATTGATCTGCCAAACATTCCATGTTTGTTTAGTTTTTTTCTCTGAAATCAAACGTACGTAGTCGACGAAGTGCAAATATATTCATGCGCGAATATTCGTAACAATTATTTCTGCTTCGTTCATTCCTTCACGTTAAAACCATCAGATTTCCCGGCCTTCTTGCTGTTCCGATTTCGCGCGAAGTGATAGTTTATTTTGTGCCTGTTGTGAAATGTTTTCTTTGTGACTGCAGTAGCTAGATGGGCGCGGATCAACACACTTTTGATATCCGTCGAAGAATGCCTGAAAACTCTCGAGCAGCTTGGATGGACTTTGGTAGAAACTCCGTCAACGCGAAGCAGTTATGTGGAAAAAATCAAGAACTTACGTGAATCAGAATTCCTTGTGGATTGCGATTTCTCCACGGTTCTGGCTTTTCCTGGCGGAACGATACTTCTAGATTGGACAGGCTCGCTCGTATTGGAGAAAAAACTGTTGATTCAAGACAAAGTGAGAAATTGGTTTTTTCTTCTGCAAGGGACAGAAGTCTTGCTAGTAATTAAAATCGTTTATTACCGGAAGATGAAAGTTCGTCAGATTTTACCCAATAGTTCTGATTTTTATTAAGATGTATACGATCACCCAAAATGTTCATGACTGCCTTGCGGCATTCGTGAGGAACTATCCCTAAATCCATTTGATTTGTATCTAGTTTTGGGGGAAAGAAAATTGAAGAAACATTCTAATTCTTGAATCAGCAAAAATTCGCAAAAAATGTATGAAATGGTTTCATCGAAGTGTATTGACGATTTGTACGCGATTTGCAAGACTGCAGACTTTTAGAACTCGTTAAATGTTTTTGTGATTTGAATTTGTTGAATTTTTCGTTGAAGGCAAGCTGTATTCCCCCATCCGTTCTCAAACCGAAACCAGGGAGTCATGTGATCGATGCATGTGCTGCACCTGGACTGAAAACGCTTCATCTTGCCGAGATCATGAAAGGCAAAGGGTAATTTGAGCTCTTGGTTCAAACTTGTTCAACAAATTCATACTACGATTATAATTGCAGGAAATTGACGGCAATTGAAATGGATTCAAACCGATGTGATGTGCTGCGTGACTATGCCAGTGAAGGCGGAGGGAAAATAATCAATGTTTTGAATATGGATTTTCTGGAACTGAACCCGGATCGATTCGTAGACGTGGAGTTCATTTTGGTAGATCCGAGCTGCTCTGGTTCAGGTATAGTTAGACGAGAAGATAAGCTCTTGGGAGAAGCTGTGTGTCCCAAACGATTAGCGAAACTCTCTGGCTTCCAAGTCAAGATTCTCTGCCATGCTCTGAGTTTTCCAAATGTGATTCGGGTTGTTTACTCCACTTGTTCGATCATGTCCGAAGAGAATGAAAACGTCGTACGAGACGTTCTTCAGAAGCCGGGGATACAAGAAAAATTCCGACTGAAAGATTTTGGCCGGAAACCAGGCGAAGAATCCGATTGGCAGTGGGATTCAGTTAACGAAGACATTCGTCAGTGCAAAAAGACCACTCCAGCAAGAGATCTTTGTAATGGATTTTTTATTGCCGTCTTCCAGAGGCGTTCGAAAGTTGGCAAGGATGAATAAATGACGGAACCTTGAGTGAACGGCGTGAAACGCTGATGATCGGACTAATTTCTGCTCGATTGAATTACTGTTTCGTAATGCTGTACTTGTGATTCGTATTTTACAGATTTGTGTATAAATAATCTGATTGATTTCTCGCATGATCAGGAAACATGGATAAACATAAGGTTAGCCGAGGCATCCTGATACATTTTTGAATTGTCTTGAACTCTTGAAAACGTTTTTTAGGAACCCGTTAAATTGGAAGACAACTTCTTTACAACGGCTTGCTACGTTAAGCTGTTTGGGCACAGCAACCTCTCCTTCTGCACTTTTTGCGGGGAAGTTGTTCCGAGCAGCAATGAAGAGAAACATAGAAGAACGCCACAGCATATGAAACAGAAATTCCAAGACATGACTCCTACGAGACGCCGGAAGATTGAAGCTATGTGGCACCAAGCTAAAAGGAAATATCCTTCAGGTGTGTGAGGCAATGCTTTATTACGTACAGTTCGTGAACTATAATTTTTATGTATTTATTTCAGCGCAAAATGTGAAGGTAACAATGAACTACTATGACAATCTTCAATGCGCCCCATGCCGGATGAGTTACTCGAAGTTGATCAACAATTCAGTCACGTCAGAAATGGAAATTATCGGTGAGACCAGCTTTTGTTTCTCTTCTATCATATACAGTATTTGAATCGAGGCTTTTTCAATTTTCGTTTCAGGTCTTGAGTATGCAGTTGATGTGCAGTTCCATGAGAAACCGTCGGAATTTTACTGCACACTTTGTGAAACTCGCGCTTTCCAGACGCCCGGGATGCTTTTTAGTCACTTGGATTCATCTACTCATCAACTGAAGTATCTGGTGAGTGTTGTTTTAGTTTTGTACAAACCGTGTGTTACTCTCTTGCTATTCTAGAGTAAGCATCTCGGGCAGTGCATTGAGTACATTCAAGATTCAAGTGAAACTAGTGCTGAAGGTCTACTTCATCGAGTCGCGTGTGCTGCAAAAATGACACAAGGGTTCTTGGGTGCTTGTGCGGTCAATTCTCGTGATTGGCAGGACAATGAAGCAGAAATTTCTGAATTTATGCGCGGAAGGGCGCACATACGGTGAGATAACAGTTCGCATTTCTCGAGTACCGAATGTCAACATTTTTTTTATGTTTTCTGCAGGGATTCGGATGAGCTGCTGAGGAACTTGCATCATCATATGTGTTCATTTGGTTGCTCAGGTATGTATCTTAACTTCCGTAAAAACTCCGGAATGTTTTTATCTATATATATTTTTAGGGGGTTCCACAAGAAATTTTATCGAGGAAGACCGTGGATCAACTCAAAATTCAAGGTACAGTAACAACTGAAACGAACTGTGAATGGTTATCTTACGCCACTCCGTATTTTAGTCCTGCGTATGAGCGTTGGAATGCAGAAATGACGCGTCAAGAGCAGTTGGATTCACAAATGGAAAAAATTGTTTTACCACCTGATCCCCGGAGAAGGAATAATCAATGCCCTCCAGTCCGCAAAGAAACCGCTGCTGTGTCAACTCTTCAGAAAGATCCACGTCGCCGAATCACAGTGAATGATGAATCGAATGCTTGCGTCCCAGCTGTTCCAGATGTGAAGCCCAATGGTGAGGGAAATATGCAGTGAATGCATGAATCATACTGTGATTCCAAATTAATTAATTATTGCTAACATGTTGTATACTTGCTATGTGCTTTTCTCAGCATGAAAATGTTATACCTGTATTAATATTTCATTCCAGTTTTTGGAATTTCTCAAATAATTCCTTTAATTTTGGAAATTGATGCACCGATGGTTCGACGATCTTGTGTGCAACAATAATGTATGTAAACGTATCGTTTCCAGACCCATAAGGTTCTCTCCGCATGTTATAGGGGTTACCTACAAAAAAATTCTCTCTACAATGAATTTCATCGTGTCCCTTGAATTTTGCTGTGGAGAGTCAATCTGTATACTGTAGCAGCGAATTTCCGAAAGATATACGTGTGTAGTTTCAGTAATTTGGGTATTTTCATTCATGTTGATAATTTTTATGTTGCAGTCCAGAATTTGCAAGAAAAAGAGCGAACTGCAACATCCCGAGATGCCCCGTCTCCAAAGCGATCTGCTGAAAGAAGAATTCAAAATGAGGCATCGAAAATAATACCATTGGGAAGGTGAGTTTTTTATTCATGTGGCATGAGCAATTATCATTCAAGACTTATTTGTTTCTGCGGGTCTGTCGCTGTCTTAGGCCGTGATGGATTGTGCATGCATAGGATGTGTAGTGAGGAGCTTTTTGTTGTTGAAGGATTGCCATCTTTTTCGTATTTTTTGCGAGGGTTATTTTATATTCGAATTGGATGAAAAAATAACACGCCTATTCTATTGTCAGTGGGGCCGAACCTTTGCGCAATTAATTTTTATTCTCATGTGATGAATAAAAATCTCGTCAAACTACTGAGACAAATCTAATCGAACCACATTAGGCCTGAAATAGTCTTGAATCTTTCATAATTTCCAATTTTTAAAAACTTCAACTTGATGAACGGTGCTTGGAAACATTTACTCAGGGCCAGGATGGAAATCGACGCCACAATTGCTCAAACGTGCCCCAAACACTTGCGCAAAGATTTGGAACAATCCCCACGTAAACGGAGGATTTCCCCGCGCGCTTCATCGGGTGCATTTTCTACCTCTCCAAAGCCCAAAAAAAGGTAATTTTGTCATAAGCATACAGTACTTCATTATTGTGTAGCAATTGTTTTGTTTTTTTTGTTGCTTTTCTCTAGATTTGAAATTAACTCGATGGGAAACACCTCGAATGTACTCCGGCGAACAGTTATTAAAACGTTCATTGAAGAGATGGATGAATCTGTGTTACCACCTGTGCCAGAAAATCTTGCCGGCGAAGAACGGTAAGACTATATTTCGCGAAATTCCGCTATTATCTGATTGTGACGTCATTTTATTTTCAGAAACTCCGCTCTTCAAGAGGAGATAAAGAAAATTCAAGAAGTTTTCAAAGAGATTACGAAGCAATTTGACCCGAGGCTGTTGGACAGTTTCGAAGCTCAGCTGAATGAGTATACGCTTCAGAAAAGATTAGAAAGACTTGGAGAAACTGAAAGGCTTCAAAATCATCTGGTTGAAAATTTTGCGGATGAATTGTGTCAGAAATTGCAGCGTGACAATTTTGAAAAGGCGAAGACAAAATGGGCTGAGATAGAGAAAATTTTAATTAGGCGGTTTCAAAAAATTGAAGAAGAGAGCGTTGATGATGATTGTAAGGATGACATTTTGTTGAAATCTGCAAATGATTCAAGCGAATCATCTGGCGAAGAAGATGCCCCTCCGCTGAATACCAGAACAGATGATCGTGTTGAGCTGAAAGACAAGCAAGGTGATTAGAAACCCTTTTTTTACGATTTTATTTATTCAAACTCAACCATTTATGCTACAGATGGTCATGCGAAAGGTTTGGATTCATTGGCCGCAGTTCTTCAAGCCTGCAAAGACTGTTTAGCTGCTTTCAAGGATTCTGGAAAATTCGAAGAGCTGTTCTCTGAGAAGGATGTGGAAAATTTCTACCACATTATTGAACCTTTCTTGCATTTTCAACTACCTGAATTAAGTTTCTTCGAACAAAAAATTGTTCCAGAACTCCGAGGTTGGATTGACTCTTTGAAATGGAAGATGGAAGATGGTGAGTACCACCTCTTTGATGATTGACTATCTCATCTGGTCCTAATTTTATTATGCAGATCCCTCCGATTCCGATGCAAAGGAGGTTCACAGTAGGCTGACACATTACCTCCATTTGCTGGTTGAAAATGCAAGTGTTTGGTGTTGCACGCTCAAAGAAGAAGTCTGACACCTGATCAAGTCTCCTTCTCTGTGGTTGTTCAACCAACAACTGATGCGTTCGAAATCTTTGTGCGCACACGTCAAATGGTTATTTTTTTGCGCTCTTTGTTCGTAAGTCGCATTTTGAAAGAATTCATGCTTAGGTTGATTTCGTGAATTCTGTCTCTTTTGAGCTTGCCGTACAATAATTTGCATTATTGATTCAAAAATGATGTTGATCAGACTTTTTTCTTGTTAGAATTGATATAAACTGATTTTTTACAGATTTTATGAAAGTATTGCCTAACCAACTGGCTGGTTACAAATGCTGATCTATTCGTGTTTATTTCAGAAAAACGAGTGACGAGTAAATGTTCAGTGAATATTTGGCGGCGGTTTCACGCGTTCGACTGTGAATATCATGTATTTTGATTATTATAGCGCAGGTGTGGTATTTTTTTAAAACTGTAAGCGATTTGTTTTATTTGGAGAACTTGTCTGTTAATGTGTAAATAATTTTCTTCTTTTAAACGTCAATAGTACGAGGATGGCAAAGAAGCACAGTCGACGTGGTGAATACGATGCAATCGACAGTGAAGATGAATGGTTGAATTCACAACTTCATCGCGCCAGTGAGAACGCCGGTCCCAAAAAAACGTCAGATTCTCGTGAAATGGGGACTTCCTCTGGGTGAGGCTCATTTTAGTATCGCACTCATCTCGATGGCGAAGATTCGTCGTTATATATTTGAAATATTTTCAAGATTTATGAAGTTATTTTATCTTTTAATTTATGCTCGTGCAGGTAATAAGAATTTTTAATGCATGAAACGCATTCATCAGTTTTTTTACGGAACCGATCATCAGCAAGGTTCTCAACGACAGTACAGTACTGCATTAAATTCAGCCCCTAAAAAAATTCATCTTTCAATACTCGATGTATTTGAAGCACGAGTCGATGAAGTTTGAATGAAACCGTGGGATCTTTTTGATAGGCTATCGCCGAGCAATCCTAAGCATGGACAACCGAAGGAGTCTAGGAAAAGCCGTCATCGCGAAAGGAACACGTAAGTGAAGATTTGATTGAAAATCCTGTGGTTTCTTCTGAACTGCAGTTTCTTTTGCTTTATAGAGGTGATCGGCGTCGTGTAAAACCATTGTCTGATGCATTTGAGGCTTACAAGAAAGAGAAAGAAAGGTGAGTTTAATCGAATTTTTTTCGGAATGCAATTCATGAATCTGTGTGTGATGTTCTAGGTATGATGCGTATGAGGTTGAATATAAAGAGCGTTTGGAAGCAGTTGCTGCGATGTGGGGGAAGTTTGATCAAAGCACGTTTGAAGACCACCCTGCCTACCAAACTGAGTGGAAGAACTTCTACAGAAGAAAGTCGATCGAGCTCAAGAAGCAGAACATTGACCCTCGCACCTATGATTTCATCCCTGAGTGGAGAGTGGCATGGATTGAAAAGAGTGTGCCTGCGTTGCGTCAAAGTGATGATGAGGGAGCAAAGACCAAAGCTTATGCGGCTCTCCGATTTTCACGCACTCCCGAGCCTCCGAATCTTACAGAACCTCTGGCTACATCCCCAGTGTCATCTGACGAATCTTCTGGCTCCATTTCCTTGGAGAGATCTCCACGTCCTGCTATCGTGGATAAGAACTCTCGCGGCGCCCAATATCAATCATCTTCCCGGGCAATATCGTCTGTTGAGCGACAGAATCGTGTGAACCGGTCGCCGGGAAGAAATTCGAAACATGTTCATAACCGTGGTAATTCTTCGTCACCACGGAAACCCCACTCTCGTTCACGAAAAGACCGGTCGCATTCGCGGTCGCCGAGAAACCGGCGATTTTCCTCAAGATCTCCATCTCCAGTAAAAAGGTCCGAACGGAAAACGTCAAGCTCACGTGTGTCGACTTCGCGTTCTCCTTTGGGTCGGGACCGAGTCAAGAGTCCACGGACTGTCTCCAAACCTCGGACGAAAAGTCCACCAAACGAGAGGGTAGTGGTTCCGGTATCGTCAAAGGTGACGCTTGGAGCAGGATCGTCGAATTCTTCGAAGGGCCCTGAAAAACCTCCGGCAACAACCCAAAAAGCGAAACCAGATATTGTTGAGATTGATCTGGACTCCTCCCCAGAGAGGGAACCTGCTGCGGGTGCGTAACCAATTTTATTTTTGCCTGTATTCTTGGCACGCTTGCTCTGATCTTGTATTACAACCGTTATAGCTTTACTTGAAGTTTGCAGACTTTTTTTTTCGGTATTTCGGTTGTTCGGGAAACTTGTAAATTGAATAATAAGTCTCTTGTGTTACCTGATAATCTTGCACTTCTTTATGCTAGATTGTACGAAGTGCAGCACTTGAAAAGATCGGTTCCGGTTTCCGTTATTTTGCCGTTAAAGACATCCTGTTTTCGCCATACTCGAAAAAGAAAAGAAAAATTTGGTTGAGGAAAATCCAAAAAGCCGGCAGGTTCGAAATATTACTCCGAATAATTGACAGTATTGCCTGGCTAACATTGTTTGCCTTTGAAATTGAACTTGCTGTATTAGGAAAAATATTTGAACTCGTTCTCAACTTTTGTTGAATACGAGGCCAGAAAGGACAAAATTAATTCCTTGTGTGAGATGATCTTTACAGACTGCTTTGAAACCCTCCTTACTTGCTAATTGCCGTATACAGTTTGACTCTTTTAACTTTTTTCTTTTTGTTGAAGTGGAAAAAATGTGTTGAATTGGAGCATTGATTCGAGATGAATAATTACGTGGTCTGTACTATCTTTCAAGAGCATCGGAAAAAGCTGACAGTAACACTTCCTTTGGGATGAATGATTCTTTCAAAAAATGTAAAAATTCTACGGAAATGTAAAATACAGTAGAAGTTTTCGGAAGTGATTTTACTGATTTTTAAAATTAGATGGAATTTAATGTACGTTTACATTTTTCCCTTCAGTTGAATCGCCACCTGCAACAAAACAAGCCGTCGATAAGGCAGATATGCCATTCGGAGCACGACTTTTGGCTGCCTTAGCACAGCTGAACTTTTACTCGAAAGAAATCACGCTCTACGGCATGCGCCTCACAGAAGCGTTAGAAAAAGCAATTAAAGTGAAAACGGCTGATGGTGACGAAGCGTGCATTGTTGCTATGTGGAATCGTAGTTTCAGGAAGCTGCTGCTGCTAGCAAAGGCGCAGCTCCAAGGCAGAATAGATATTGGACTGCTGAACGAAGGTGAAATTCCTGTTGCCAGTCAGACCATAGAAGCCGTCGAAGATCTGTTGAAACGTGGGGAATCCGTGCAGTTTTCCGGAGAGCCCGGTAAGGAAAGGTCGGCTGTCGCATCAACTATAATTCAAGGCGTTAAACCGTCTTCGACTTCGAATGAGTTGATGAAGAAGGGCATTGAAGGGCAACCACCGCTCAAGAAAGTGCTGGATGAGGTGAGCAGAGCACCGCTATTTTTTCATCGATCTGCTTGTCCACGCTACGTCAAAATAATGTCAGTAAGGTTTCCATGACAGTCATTTGGATGGAGATTAAATTTTCAATTGAATTTTTGCGTTGTAAGTCGATGACTTATGCTGGAAAATCGTCGATATTTTTGTCTAACGTTTATACGAATGCCGCTGTGGCTTCCTGACGTATTCTGATGGACGACGTCGTCGTTTGAAGCTGTGTTTTGTACGTTATATAGCAAATTTCCGTCGATGGTTTGATTTTATTCGTTGTCCTGGATTTCTTCTTGAAAGAAATAAGTCGGTCTCCTCGATTTTTCTGACTACTGTGTTGATTTTGCTTGAGCAGATCAAGGCTCGTTCTGAAGCTATGGCCGCTGCACCGCGAACAGCAAAAGATGACGTTGGTTCAAGCGCTGCGGAAGATCTATCTGATGAAGCCCTGGATTCCTATTCGCCGAATTCATTCTACCAAAAGTTTCTCAAACCCTTTCAAGGAATGCAAAATGAAACTAGGAGACGCATTGTTGACTACTTGAAACATATTGAAATGGGAAACCGAGCCCGACACAACGCGATCAGCGTATTTGTGAGAGAAGCACGACCGTCGGTTGATCCATCTACCCGGAAGGTAACTGAGCCGAGAAACTTGAACCAAAATGCAGCTGGTGAGGTATCTGATCCCTGCCTTTCCTCTGAGAACTCGTCGAAAAATTCATCAGGAGGTGGATTTGCGCCTGTTAGATCGACTGATATTCGACAGGAAGGGAGTTCCGCAGCTTCACATGGTGACTCCTCCGACGATGGGTGGGAATAGCTTTTGCATGATTTGTATGCACATTTCAGAATGAGGTTTTTCATTTGCAATATTGAGGGCAAGCAAATGGAAGTTACTTCAATCTCGCGAGAATCCGTTCACAATATTTTCATTCTCGTCGGTGAGTCGTTCTGGTGTTGGTTTCAAGACCGTCGCGGAAGCGGAAGAGGAATATGTCTTCAAGATGTCCTACGGCTGGTTTTCGAAAACAATTTTCTTTCTTCTGGTGATTTGTTCGTGTGAATACATTCGAGATGGCCTTATAACATTTCCGTTGAGGTATGTTGCATGTGCCCGATTGATTCGATGTCGTTTTTTTTTTTTCGTGTGATTTTTTTTTCTTCTGAGATTGTTATTCTGCGCCTTCTCGAATAAATTTTTTTTTGATTAACTCCTAAAGCCGTATCGTAACCACGGTTCTCTCAATTTTGTTGGACAAACTTTTTAGATTACGAAAATTTCGTTTTTTCTTGTACAGGTTTGGGTGCATATGTAGAAAGGAAGGCGGAAAAATGTCCGCCTCGCGTAATTACCGTCAGGCTGCTAATCAGCTTTTGGAAAAATTGAGCAGAAGTGACGTTGAAAGTTTGGTTGCGGAAGCTGCAAAAAAGTTTTCTCTGCCAAAGCTGGGATTTGAAATCGTTACTACTGATGCGGACGACGTTGCTGATGGAGTTCCCGAAGTGAGTTCATTCTTCGTAATGTGGTAAATTTTTTTCATATGTGAACTGTTCTCGCAGGTCGGAGAAGTCGTAAACTCGAAGAATCCTGCGGCGAATAAAATTTGCCCGTCGGAGGTTCCGCTTGGTAAGAATTCTTTTTATATGTGAATGGTCCTATCAAATTAAAAAATAGCATCTATCGGAATCTTTCACCTTAATTAAAAAATTATTTATCCGAATTTATCAACCCAACAATCTTTTTGAATCAGTTTGGTTGTTGATTCGCAGATGATATTCCGGCTGTTGCTACTCGTGAGGCATCATCTGCTAATGAGCAAGTGGATATTTGCGATCTGAAACGTCAGTATGGCGCCGTTCTGCAAAAATTGGAGCGTCATTATACGAAAGGAAGTGAGTGCTTATTTTCGATTTTTCGTTTTTGTTGTCCGATGACCATCATTAAAAAGAAGGCAATATGAGGAATGATATCATCTTAGCTAAATGCTACACTACATTCTCTAATATAAGAGGGTTTTGCTAATCTTTTAAACAGAACTTTGCGTGATGAGGCGGGACGTAGATCTTATGAAAGCGTGGTGGAAGACGAATCGTGGCACGAAGAAGCCGGAAGGCGTAATGTCTGTTCCCGGCTTATCCCCGACTGCACAAAATATTGAAGTTATGAAACTGCTCATGTCTTTGATGAAAGTCGAAATCAACGTTTTGCGTCGAGTGGTCAACCTCGGCAAGGAATTTGACGAATTCATTGAACGCGTTCAGAAGTCATTCTCAGCCACGTTGGCGTTACGCGAATCATTGGGGAACAAAGCGAAAGACAATCCTGAATGGTTGACGAGACGAGGAAAGCTGAAAGCTGATTGTGATCAATTACGTGACATGTTGGACGAAAATATTGTACCGGGCCCGATGGTTGCTGGAACGGAAGAAACCCTGGAGATGATCGAGGATTTCTTAGAGATGGAAGAAAAAATACCAGAGCTTTTCAATGGCGACTCCATAACTGACGAAGAGCTTCTAAGCTTAGACGTGGAAACCAGAGCTAGGAAAAAGGTAGAAAAGCCTTTGTTGGAAGCCTTGAAGTTTCTTGCCAAAGCCCACAGGTACGCGGATTGCCAAATGGATTCCGAAGAACTGAAAAACATGATTGCATCGGTACGTGAAAAATTATTTCTTTCTTCATTTTTTTTCCGCGGTATGCATGTGTGGAGGAGACTCAAACGTTTTTAAAATGACTCTGACCAGATGAGAGGATCCTCATAAGTTTTGTCGGATTTGTTTCTTGACTGGAATATTGCTGAATTGGTGGAGATCAACGTAATTCTAACAGTAATGTTTGAAAATGTCCGTGATAATTTCCTGTTCCAATTCTTTCTCATCGACGTTGAGATGAACGATAAAAAGGCAGTAGAAATGGAAAATGTACCTATCGATGTCTTCTTTGCAAAGAAATGACTCACGTGTTCAAATTTTAGATGTAATGTCCCGGGTCTGACAGCCATGCTCCATCAAAGAGAAAAGAATCAGATCTTGGCACTTTTCGTGAAAGTGATGGATGCCTCAAAATGTCTACTGGTAGTGAAGAAGTTCCCCAAGCCAATTGAAGGAGATTGTCGAGCATTCGTAAAAAGGCATGCTTCAAGTTTTCTTGTTCAATGAATCGCACTGACTCGAAAACTTATGCGCGCAAAGAACTTATTTTCGGAATACCTTTTCTGACAAACTTCATGATTATCCTTCGTTGATCTAGGTTTCAAGTGTTTTTATTTATTTATTCTGGATTGTTTTTAAATTCGGACGAATTCTGAAGTTCAAGAAAAAATTACGCGTCACTTCGTTCCTTGAACTGATATTATTACAGGAAATGAAGTGCAGCACTCGATTTTGGTTTGTAGATTGCCATGGTAAATTGGAAATCCGTCAAGTCTTGCTTCGGAGAAAATGCAGACGTGGACGTCGCCAAGCTGAAGCTTAGAAAGGCCGAAAACTTTGATTCGTACACCCCGGCGCAATTTGTTGACAAATTTCTGAAACCCCTCGATGATTATTCGTTGAAGTGCCAAGAAAAGCTTTTGGAATACGTGCTGTCATTGGAAGAAAATGACAAGCAGCGGTGCCGAGAAATCAATGAACTGTATCTTGCGGTTGTTGTTGAAGATTACGAAGAATCCCCGGAGGAGTCTCTGAATACCTGAAAAATAAAATATAATTCTTTATAAACCTTCCTGGCGATACTTATCGGCGGACTTCGTGCGTGGGAATGATAAATTTGAAATCATGGGAATAATTAGTGAACCGTTTTGTCCCCAGGTTCTCCTATGCAGCAAAAGAAAGTTTCTGACAGCTTCCGGTCGATTTTCATTGTTTCCGAGTAGCCATAACGAGTTCGAATTGTGTACCCTGGGCTGTATCGGATATAAAATAATAAAAAGTGAACTCGAAAATTACGTCTGTTCCCTCTAGCCATTAAAGTTTCGTATTTTGCGAGGAGCACAGGAAACGGCTGTGTGTAACGCTTTCGTTCTATTGTCCGCGTCAATTTCGATTTGAATGCGAACAGGTCCCGTCCAATTTGAGTGGCTTTTGTTGCGATTTTGGTCTCGATGTCGTGGTTCGCGGATCTCGCAGGTAAAGCTGAGGAGTTCTTGAACAAAGTTGACCAAGGAGCTGCTTCTGCTCTCAAAATTGAAGGAAACGGATTGCCCTTTACATCGAGGAGTGCGACAGGGGACGATTGGCCAGCTGCGTGAGTTATCTTTAAAGAATCAAAAAAGACCATTCCTCGAATTTTTAGCTTATTCGAGTTCGAAGATATTCCGGGTTTCCGACAAAAATGTGAAGCTTATTTGTTCGTGTTTCTTACTTTTTTTGCAGGAAAATTTCTCGTAAAGGCTCAATCCCAAATCTGAGTGAGCCCTCGCAAGCATTGAACAATGAATTGCGATCAGGCATTCTTGGAAGGCCAGCATCCGCTCAACATAAGAAAACGTTTTCGAATGCAAGTGCACCCGCTGCTGCTCACAGCGACGATGCTCTCATTGAGTTTCTAAATGCTCCGGTTCAGCAAAAAAGTCGTGATGCTCCAAGCAAACCGGAAGTGATAGCAAAAGATGAAGAGCCTTCCAGCATTGAATCTGATTGCAAAGAAGGTGCGATGCTTGCATTTCGAGTGCGTTGGCGAAATTCAATTTTATTTCTTGACGGTTTTAGCTCTCTGCAAGTCCATTTTGGGGTTTTGTTTCTCATTCAGGCTTTTGTAGAAGATGGATTTTTCCTGATGATATATTTTGTCTAAATTATTTTCTCTTGGGTTTTTCAGCACTAACGCCTAGTTCTGAAAAGAAAAAATCGAATTTTCAGAAAAAATTACTGCATACGGAAGGATAATATTACGTTGTATTGTGATCTTTAGAACCCGGTGATGAAGGAAAAGGAGAATCGGAAGTGCCGGAGATCCCGTCTGGGCTTGATGTGGATTCGGAAAATTCCTTGTTACGCAACGAAATTCTAAACATGAACCGAGAAATGTCTCAATTGTTTGGGAGGATAAAATCTCACGAGAAAGGTTCGAAAGAATGAACTGTTTCTCTTTCTTGTGGTTCACGTTCATTTTCTCATTTTAGAAACGAAAATGCTGCGGAAAGATCTGGAACGCGAAAAAGAGTCTACGCGTCAGTTAAGTTCCCGGATACGAGATCTACAGGAACGGGAAAATGACATGCGTCAAATGCTGGAAGCAAAAGATTCCCAAGTAAGCGTGTTGAAAGTTCGTCTCGAAGAAGCCGAAGAAAAGTTCCAGAATGCTGAGACTTGCCTCAGACAAACAGTTTTGGATCATGAAAAGTAACGCATCTTTTTTTTTAAATTTTAGTACGTTTTGTCAACGATTTTTAATGTTAGGCTTATCAATGCTTCGTCGGAGTCTATTGCTTTCCAAAACAATGCCTTGGAATCTTTACGTAAGCAGCTCGAAGAAACTGAAGCCGCGCTTGCGAATGAGCGAGATTCGTCTCGGTTTCAAAATCAAGAAAATATGGAGAAGTAGGTTTCTTTTGAAGTTATTTTCTTCCCTTGATTCTGAAGGCAGATTTTTTTCGAAGATTATCCATGCTTGAGCAAACTCAATCGACTCTTGCCGCGTCATTTGCGGAAGCTGAGAATCGAGCAGAAATTCAAGCACAAATAGCGGAAAAACGCAGGAAGGACATTCTTGTCATTGAGTCACGCGTGCAACAAGCTCAACAAGAGCTTGCAGATTATAAGCAAAAAGCCCAACGTATTCTTTCATCGAAGGACACATTGATTGCTACGCTTAAATCAAATCGCCAGTCGAGTGAGTCTGTGGACACGTCTGATTCATTGGAGATGGAACAGTTGCGTCAAGAACGAGACCTGCTTCAAGAGGAGGTTTCAAAGCAAAGAACTGCTCTTGATCAGTTAAAAGGTAGGCGTGTTTCGAATTTGAGAAATTCTTCGAAAGATTTCAGCTGTTGGTAATGAAATTGAGTTACTGTGCTTGTTGGATAGACCGATGTGTCAAATGAGTATTCTGTGCATTCTTAAATAACAGGTTGCAGTCTTTTTTTTTGTGCTGTGAATTGAAATGTTCAAGGTAAAGAAGGGTTGACGCAGCCGCGAACCTTCGAGAAACACTGCGAGCTATCGTGGAAAGAAATGGGAAACAAACAACAGTACTTATCTTTAAAATGAAAGCGAAGTATGAAATGAGCGCTGAGTTTATTTTCATAAGTACCGCATTATAATTTACTTCCCATCAGTCATGATGATCACGTGTATGCAGCTAGATCCATGAAATTTCTGATTATTGGAGAGATAATTAATTTCTTCATATTTTTCATCCGACCGCTTCATATACAGTATATGTTTTCAAAAATCGTCTGACTTTTTTGGGTCCACTTCGAGTGAAATGGTAGATCGTGCATACATTTGCTGGTACAATGGATGGAAAGAGCAGGGCTGGTGTGAATTACGTTTTATGTTGCAGTTCCGAGCAATTCGAGGACAAATTTTCGAATGATTTCTTCTAGTGCAAATGAACGAGCTGGAAACTGGACACCAGAACGCTCTTGCTGGAGCTCAAGACCAATTGCGTTATCAAAACGAGCTTCTCGAAGAAGAACGCTTGCGTACTCGTGAACTTCAAAATCAATGTTCGAACCTGAACGATGAGCTAGTTTTCTTGCGAGAAGATCTTACGCAGCAGAAGTTCAACTTTGCTGCGAAAATTCAAGACCGCGACATGGAAATCGAGAAGATGCGGAAGCAGTTGATGGCGAAGAAGACTTCGTCTGCTTCTCAAGTCGAAATGGATAATAGGTTGCAAGCGTTGACTCAAAACCTCATCCAGAAGCAAACTCAGATTGAGCAGCTGACCACCGATAAAAGTACTTTGATTCATCAAGTTGAACGTCTAGAGGTAATCGCGACTGAATTATCCCCCCAAATCTTCCCTTCGCTTACGAAACCCCCTCTGTTACAGCGTAGAAGGCAAGACACGGTTTATCGTGGGAATGGAGGACATGGTCAGGATACTTATCTTTTGATGAACTCAACGGATGACGGTATGGAGGAAACGATCATGAATTCCGGTACTTGCATGCTTCGTAGGATGATCATATATGATGATATATCATACGCTATTAAATGTTGGCCGGACAGCGTGTCATATTCAGCGTATTTCGGCTTGTGTATCGTGTCGACACGGGTTACCGTATTAACGTACGATCTGGCTCCATGAAATGCGTGTAATCTTTAAACGAGAGAGACGTCTGCGCATTATTAATTGCTTTTGCTATTAGAGGGTTGATTGGGTTCTTGCTGGATTTGGACTTTTCCCTCAGACGCCTGAGGGTTCATGCTCAGAGAAATCTGGATACAGTACACGATTGTCTCTTCCTGGAAAGAGCACTTGTTATAAAAAATTATCGTTTTGGAATATCCTCCGAACGCGTTAGGATATCTGAATTAATGGCGTGTGATGAAAAATTCAAGTTCATTTTGATCCAAGTTCTAAGTCGGCTATGGCGCACTGGTATCTCCTACAGTTCACTAAATTTAAATGCTTTGGTTCGCTGTTTTTTGCTCCACTTTATGCTGTATCCTTGAAATCAACTAAGCTCTATTTTTTCGTCATTCCGTTTGTTTTGAACGAATGCAGCTAAAGCACACATTCCCAGTTTCATGGTCGAGAGTCCATTTGATGGAAAAATGACCCGCCGGGTAAAACGAGTATATTCAACTCTGGACACCTTCAGCGTTCGACTTGGAGTTTTCCTGAGAAGGTAATTGATGTGAATGTTTAATCTGATCATCGGACTCTTCCATTTAAAAAAATTTTTTTTTTGCTATTTAGATTCCCTATAGCGCGCATCATGGTGCTTGCCTACATGGGCTTGTTGCATCTATGGGTCATGATTGTCCTGCTGACTTACCAACCGGAAATCCACTTCGACGAACGGCCGTGATCGAATTCCTCGAGGATTCAAGTGTGACTGCCTGATTGGGTTTTTGTTTATGTGCCTTCGTGATTATTGGCAATGTGTTCTTGGATTGAGGAGACGATTTTGCATCTCGATATTGCACCGTATTCCAAAATTTGTTTTTTCGGAATTTAAAGTGGTTGGGATTTTTATTTTAGCAATAATCCATAAAGAAATATTGGTGCCTGTTACGCAGTGTGGAATTTGCGTCCCCGCTTTTGGAGAAATGACCATCTTTTTGAAAATTGGAATCACAGTTCAACGAAGTGTGGTTATTCAAACCTTGCTGGTGGATGGGCGCAGACTTCATCTGTGGTTCTTGATGTGAAAGTACTGTAACTATTCCTGCAATAATCTTGCTTGATTGGACTTGGAAAAAAGATTCTTTTGCGCGTTCTATCAAATCTCAGGGGTATAGAAAGGATATGGACGACGAAAACGAGTGTTATCACTTCCAATAAAAATTAAATCTGCCTGTTGTCCCAATATGGGAAGGTTGACAAGAAAATGGGGTGAATCACGATGTATTCTGTAGCCTACAATTCACAAAAAATTCGAGCTTTCCAGTAGGACTCCTGATCAGTTGAATCTGTTCCATAGCTTGCAAAGAAAAGCCTGATTGACTTTCCCGTCGAACTGCTGTTCACTCTCCCGCACTCGATTTTCGAAATTCCATATTCTTGGCTGTGTTTCATTCGAACTATGGAAGGTCATCAAGATTTTTCTGTAATGGATGTATTCAGGTGTACATGGCGTTTTTGAACGGTGCTGACTCGGGCGACCGAATAAGTGCGACCTCTAGCTACATAGATAATTTGTTCAAAGACTGTCGCGGTTCGCGTCGTTTTTCCAGTTCCACCGATGATCCCGATTCCGGCATCAATGTGTCGACCCCGAGCGAACTTGTCACGGCTATGTCGAACATGCAAATGACATCAACGCCAATCAAAGCGCATTCTTTGATATCCCATGAAAATCGCGTCAAATCTTCGAGTACCAAACGTAGCCTGAGTGCAATCGAAATTCAGACACCTTCGTCAAGGTCAACTTTTGAAGAGGTTCCTCCGGCGTCGCTAGATTCCAGTGTATTGACTGTCATCCGGAATAGCAAAGCCGAAGGTCTGCTGAAGAATATAGAGAAATCTCTGGATGCTCAGCTTGGGGATGGCGCGACGAAACCCGCTACTAAACGTGTGATTTCGAAGTTCCTGATGGAACTCAGTCATTTGATCCCCGACGAAAATTACCGGCTGGAATCCACTTTATCAGACATGGATATCACGATCGACTCGTTGAAAGAATCAAAGGAGCCGGACTACGAAGTGACGCCGCGGCAATCATTATCTACGGCGTCTGCAATCTATGGAAGTGATTCGTTGTGCTTCTGTCGACAGCGCCCGGATGAAACATCGATGGTAATTGTTTGATTTCAGCAGTGCGCAAAGGCTGGTGGTCAAAAATGTTGGCTGACATGCACCTCCTTTCGTCAAGACATAGACTAAATTTAAATAGTTTCACAATGGAAGAAAAGCGAGATCCTTGACTTGTCTTTAATTTTTTCCTGCTGAGATTCAGCGATAGGAAACGGTGCACCCATTACTGGATTTACGTGACACTTCTACGTGGGCTAAGAGCTACATCAGTTTTCCGACGAATCTTATCAAAATCCTTGGTTTGACAATCCTGTGCTAAATGTGAAGGTTGCCCTAAAATGCAGCCGGGGGAAAATTTTTTGTATCAATTTTAATTATACTGTAATTCCTATGTTAGCTGATCTTCAGTAAATGATAGTGATATTTTTATCAAGTCCTGGTATTAATCCCAAAGTCGTCTGAAAGAATAGAGCACTTGATTGAAGTTGTTGTAAAAGACATAAAATAGCACTACAGTGAAGGTAATCTTACTGTTGCACTTTCCAAAATCTGAAAATCGTTCCGGATGACAGTATTCCGAGCCATGCGAAACAATTTTCACCAGCCCTTGTAATTTCGTCCTTATTCAAATTCTGTACAGTACTGTAAAGTTCGGATCTTGGATCTTTAGCCTCCAAAGTGATCTGATAGTTACGTAATTTTGAAAGCATGATGTTATCTGAAATGTTTGATCTCTGGCTAATCGTAAAACTGACGCATTTTCAGAGAACTCCTCAGCAGCGCACAGAAACAACCATCGATGATTTCCTGTCTCCGTTGATCGATTCTTCAGCACTAGACATGACGAGGGGAGCCCGTCGAAACTACGCGGATTGGATTGCCAAGATCTTGGACGTTCAACTTGCGAACTTGAAATTGAAGCTCGAATCCCAATTCCGCGAGGAGTTGGGTAAATTGCGGAGCGATAAAAACCGAGAGATACAAGAAATTTCGGAAAACTACGAACGACAATTGTCCATCGTGCGGGAAACTGCGTGCGATTTGGAGAAACAATTGAAACGTGCCGCCAGGGATTTTATCCAAATGAATGAAGTCAAAAGTCGACAGATTAAAGAATTGAAAGGACTCCTTGAATCGGAACAGGAAAAACAAAGGAATTGTCCGACGGTGGGTTTTCATCCGACTCTTGTCTTTCAAAAAAGTCGTGTTATGTTTTTGCTTATGAGCCGTTTTTTATTGTTTGCGTATGGTTGCAGCGTGATGACATAGAACTAGCCATAGAAAGCGAGCGATTGGCACTGCAACAACGACATACGGAAAAGTTGACATCCATTATCGAAAAAACGCGTGCGATGATTTTCGAGATTCATGAACAACATCAGAATGCGGTCTCCCGAATAAGCCAAGAGTTGGTCCAGGTTACGGTATGTACACTCCGACATTTCGCAGGTTAGTATACATTCGGTTAAAATGTATTAAATGTGCAGAGGGAGCGTGACCTTCTCAGAGAAGAGCTCGTGGACTCAAAAACCCGGATGAGTCATCTTGAGCGAAACATGCGCCGATGCCGTCAGTGCGCAAATGTGCTTGGTCTAAACGACGAGCTGACGTGAGTAAATAATTTTTCGAGGTTTTTTACGCACGATGACATGATGGAGCATATTTATGTCTTGAAACTGCAAGGCATTCCAGTAATGGAAATCAAGAGGCAGTAAGCCGAAATTCTTCGAGTGGTTTGGTTGACACGGTATCCAACGGGGGAACCACGTACCTGAGCGCAAGATCTGGAAGTGTGACAAGTTCCGATGGTATGAACGTCAGTAATCGTGAAACTCGCAATGTGCTTGATGTACTTGGAGCTATGCGATCTTCCCTGCCAATCTTCGATTTACCCAAGTCCCGAAGTGAAACTGTTTCCAAGGTATTTTTACAGTTTCGGTGACGATTTGACATAGAAAATTTACAGTTGTAGAAGATATTGCAGTAATAATTTTCTATTCGTTGAAGAACTCGTCGGTAAACGATGAAAGTTTGGAAAACAATTCTGTTCGTGCAAAATCCCTGGCTTTGTCCCCGATGGATCTGGCTCAAGTTTCCGCAAAATTGCGCAAGCAAGTATGTTCATGTCCAGTACTTGCGATTTTTTCCTTTATAATTTTTCATAATTTCCTGTTTTCTGGTTCATTCTATCCTAGTTGAAGAACCTGGAGGCATCTCTGAACAAGAAAGACGAAGAGGACAGAAGATCTGTCTCGAACAGCTGAACTCTTGCATCCATGATTGACAAAGCGCGATTTGTTTGTAACTGAGGTCCAATCTGGTTGTGTTATTGAGAAATTCCGTGAACTTTTAGTCTTCGATGCAATTTTGTACGTAAGTTCGCAATTTTATACCTTTTACTAAGGTCAAAAATTGGGGTTATTCGCAGACTGGATGTAATAAAAGGCGGTTCTGTGTCCGAATGGATAATTTTTTTATTCAGTTTCTGATAAGTCTTCGATTTATGGGGATGCCATCGCATGCTGATATGTATCACCTGCTGAAATGGTATCTTCCAGTCAGTCTTGCTGTATTTTGTGTTCTTGTGCAGATTCTTGTTGGCTGTTCTGGTGAAAATAATTTAGGCTAACACAGAACCCCAATGAATTGAATCATACACTTCAAGCTAAAAAAAATTTAGAACAAAAATCCATTTTGATCCGGAAGAATGGTGTAGTAAATATTTCATTCCACATGATTTCTTTATTTTCATAGGCAAAAAAGTGTTGAAGTTTTCTGAAGATGAGCCATGTCCAAAATGATTCAGAAGGTTTGCTGTAATCTCCGGATTACTTTGCACTTGCCGTGCATGCGCCTGTGATGTACTACTGTTCAGTGCAGGGACTGTTCAGGGAAGTTTATGCTAGCTGCATAGTAGCACCAAAATTTGTCAGAATGAAGGTATTGATCTTCGCCGATTATGTTAGTACATGCTGAACAGCACCTTATCATACATGTCATCGAATACTTTGTTGTTCCTTTCTCACTATAGCAGATGGTGCACAAGGCAATTGTGTGATTTAACTTACAGGCTCACAATGATGTTGCTGCATTGAGTCATGAACCAAAAGGTTATGCAAGCCTGCCTGTAACGATGTCAGATTGGGGCTCAACCAGCCTTACTCAATCTCTGACTGCAAAGTCTATAAAGGCACCTGCCTACTCTTGTGCTCATTAGTGTCTCCACTAACTGTTGGTTGACTTACATTTGTCATTGCCCACACTTGTTGAATAAAATAATATTCACTGATATTATTTATAAGAATTCTTGAGGAGTCTTCATTTGAATCAACTCAGCAATAAGGAATAGAAATCTCCTTGTTACTGATGTCAGATCTAGATGAAGAATACCTCATGATAGGAAGTATTCAAGAATGAATACTCAAGAGTTGTCTGGAGAACTTTATATCTTTTATCCATGGTTTAATTGAGGTCTGATAACAGTAATGTAAATCACCATCACTTCTTGATGTCTGAGATTATTCCTTTATTCCTGTTCTCCTCTGACTTGAAATTTCTTTCATTAACTGACAATGAAGAATCTGAGACATCCATGTAACTCAAGTGCATTTTCCTTCGTGCATCAAGTTGGGAATACCCAAACCAGAAATCCTTCCATTATTGTGTAACAATACAAAACATTACTTTAAGTTACCCATTATATGCTGTCCTGAATATACGAAGAGTGATGTTCCAGATTTTCTAGAGCGAGGGATAATGATAGATGTCGCTAAGGGTTGACACAGGTCTGGTGTCATCACCGGCCCCTCCCCGTTAATCACCGAATGCTAGGATCGTGACGCTCGTATCTGTTGGAAGTTTTAATTGGGCATTGCGGTGTTCGGAGGGAAGCTGATCGCGTTACGACTTAAAACAACGTGGGGTTCGTATACATATTTTAAAACTTGAGTGCCCGTAGGGGATTCGAATTCCTCCCGCGATTTTCATGCACGAGAGACATTCGTTCGTTGTAGCGAAATGAGGAAAGATTCAATCTTAGGTCCGTGCTCCCTGAAATGATAACTCATCGTGATCCTCGTATAGGTAACTTCTTCATTGTGAAAGGTTCTAGTGTACTTCAGCCGAATTGAAAGTTTTCAGAATGGTCCGCGAAGTCAAAACGAAGGTAATGTATATTGCTCTTGAGCAGATTCGTTGCTATTGCTAAAGTGAGTTGTACTCTTTAGGGTGAATTCGAAACTTGCCTGGCGGAAGCGGGATCTAAGCTTGTGGTTGTCGATTTCTTCGCAACATGGTGTGGTCCGTGCAAGCACATTGCTCCCAAGATAGAAGTAAGAATTTTTTTTTGCAAGGAAATATCCGATTATTAACTAGCTGTACTTGAAAGGAATTAGAGAGCTCGAATCCGGACGTCGTTTTCTTGAAAGTGGATATAGACGTTGTTGAAGACCTTGCCGTGGATTTCAACATCTCTTGCATGCCAACGTTCCTCTTCTTCAAACACAAGACCAAGGTATGTATTGTTGAAAGTGTATACATTCTTCGTGTATTATTCGTATCTTATTCTATTAGATCGACGAATTTTCGGGAGCAAATGAAATCAAGATCGTCGAAATTGTCCAGAAGCACAAAAATTGAATAGAGAGTTGAAGACCACTTCAATGCTCGCTGAAGAAGCTATCTGGCGCAGACAGGTCCTTTAGCTGGTGTCATTATTTCATCTTGTGGGTCTAGCATCAAGAAATGATATTATGGCTTGCGTTTGCCGCTTTTTTGTTGGATTAGCAGTGCGTCATGTGCGTGCACCGTCCGGAGTAAGGTGCTGTATTTCCACGCATGATTCTGGGAATCTAACCGAACTCAATGGAACTACTGTAACAATTACGAGCCTTAGTTTTGGGAAGGGCCATTCATCTCTTTCGCTCGAAAATCGTTTTTATTGATTTCAATATCTTAGCTCGTGCATTCCTGTGAAAGTGTTTCGCAGATTTTCTGTGCCTTCTTGCAACATCACGTGTCAGAATAATAAATCGATGCTTCGTGATCAACTGTATCATTCATTGCCGAATAAGGTGCGAATGAAACCTAATCCTTCCTTCGCGCGATATTCTAGTCAGGAAGATGAGAATTCAAGTGCTACTGTTGTTTGTGCCCCTTCTCTTGGAAGCGGAAGGAGACGAAGTCGATAGTGTGAAGCTGCCCACCCGCTGCGAGAGTAAGATAAACCAAGCTTTGTTATTTTCCTTGAAAAATATATACATTTTTTTACAGCTTGCAAGATTCTTAGCTTAGAACTTCAAAAAAAACTGGAGGAAACCGGTAAATCGCATGATGTCATCGAAACCGGATACGGTTTTGAGGATTCGAAGAAGAAAAAACGGACAAAATACCGGACTTCGTAAGCGATTTTAATTCTGCAGATATCCGAATTGATTCTGCTTCGGCGTTTAATGACGCAAATTTTCGAATTTCTTCTGTCTTCCACAGGGAATTACGGTTGCTCGAGTCATTGGAAAACGTCTGTAACTCGATGCTGGAATATAATCTTCATAAGGAAAGAGCTGATAGCACCAGATTTGCGAAGGGGATGAGTCAGACTTTCCAAACTCTCCACGGTCTTGTGTAAGTAACCCTTCGTTCGAGGGCAGAAAATGTTAATACCGAGTCTGCCATATTGTGCGCAGGGGTAGAGGAGTTAAAGTGGATTTGGGAATTCCCGAAGATCTTTGGGATAAGCCTCCTGTTGAAGTGACAGCATTGAAGACTCAGGTTGGTAACCCGAGAAGGCGAATACAGTAGTTGAATATTCAGCAGAATTATCTATTTTTCCTTTAGTGTGAAAAGCTTCTGGAAGATCACGAAGATGACATATCTGATTGGTACTACAACCTGCAGGACTCGATATCATTGCAGAAATATTTATGCTCAGAGAAAGCATTGAAAAACGATGAAGATGTGTGCTTGACTGAGGAATTTGACCCGGAGTCGAGCTCGCGCGATGAGCTATGATGATGAGCTTGGTTAGAACGTTAAAAGCTGGAAGTGGAATTCTTCGTAAGCCCTTGTTTTTTGTTTCATCATTCTTACGTTCAAAAGCATCGTAGTCTTGTTGAATCACGCAATGTTTGTCATATTCGTGGTAAAAATTTCAACGCAACATTGCCGCTCGATTATTGCGAACATGAGTTTTGAAATTATCGTGCTGTACAGTAATACGGTACTGTGATAATTCGTTTTAAATATCAGGTGTTTTCGCATATATAATCGAAAGCTGTCATAGAAGTGTTCTTCAATAATTAATACATTTCCGAAAAGATCTCAAATAAAGAAAACTGTCTCTTAGTGATTGCCCCAAAGCTCAATTGGATCGTAAGGATGATCGATCGTAGTAAAATTAAGCGGCCGAAAGTAAAATCTTATTATGCAGGCTGCTTTTTTTCATCACATTGAATCGAAATCCGTGCAAGATTTATAGAATACCGCTCGATATAAATTTTTCCGTGTGAAGGAGTGAAAGAAAAAGGAAATGTCTGTGAAGAATGTATTCGAAAACAAAGCTGCTATGTTTTTATGCGTTCTGAACCGGCTCTAGTCATAGTAAATTCGAGCTTTGTCAAAGAACGTGAGTTTACTTTTCGCTGTGCGTTGAATTCTTGGAAGTTTAGTCTATTTCTTCCCGCCGAAGAGTGTCACATTCGTGACATTCCTCAAGTGATCCTTTGCTGTTTGATTAACAGGACTTGACATGCTGTCTGCTCTCCGTGGGCTTTTGTGGTCTACGTTTCGAGATCATCCATAAATCACGCGTTCAACAAACCACTTCTCAAGCATTGCAGGTTAGTGTTTAAAATGAGAAACCCAATCATGTTGCTGGCGTTTTCTGCGCTAACCGGTGAAAAACTTGAAGTGCTTGAATATCTGTTCGCCTGTGCTGTGGAGGATTATTCTTTATAATTTAATTTTGCAAAGGAAATGACATCACATCGCGGTTTGGACCGATGGGAACCCTTTTTAGCTGAGATCATGTACTCGCTTTTCCATGACGTGTGATATTCTCGCGGATTTTCGGTACACCTCCCTCGAGTCCAGGTGAACCGCTTTTGCATTACATAGCGTGGGTACGATGAGGTGTAATACACTAGTTGACTAGTTCAACTGTTGAATCTCCATCGCTGAAGCGTGAAAACGGAAAATTGAAACCGGCTCACAGGGGCGATGCGGTTTTACTGAATTTCTTCGGAGTTGATTCTGACGATTCGAGATTTTATGACAGTTGAAGGAATGGAAATACTGTAGTTCACGAGTCAGGTCATTGAACCGAATGTTCTTTTATACCTGAAATGTTTTATCGGCGTTTATCGAAACCTTCGTAAACGCGAAGTGACATGCGTGGTGAAATTTTCGAACATAAAGAAGTCTGAGCAATTTGCTTCCAGAAAGCGAGCGAAAGGTTTCTAATCCGCGGGTTTAATTATTTAGGAAAATTCAAGTACTGTACAACTATCGTACACTATATCGTGCGGCGATTTGAATCTCACAGGTGGTCTCCTCAAGATATTTGGGTGAAACTGCCCTGAACGATAGTCGGGTAAGATTCTACAACTTCCTTAGCAATGATTGGTTCGTGAATTTGATGCGTGATGGTCCGAATATTCAGAATGAATGAGTCCGACGTTACTTGCAGTTGTTGAAAAACTCGGAATAAACTCGGTAAATGTTACCGTGTCAAAAATCCGAGTGATATTCCGAATTGAAAACACGACATTTTCGAAGTAATTTTTACCATTGCTTAAATCTTCGGATGCTGTACTTTTTATGATCGAATTATTTCTGTAAATTCAATTTCTACCATCATGATGGTGTTTTAACAATTTTCAAAGTTGAGAGATTTGTGGATTCGAAGAGAAAACGCCTGAATGCTCGGAGTGAGACAAAATTATGAGCTTCTTAAATTAATTTTGAAGCTGTCCTATTTGCAGAATCTCGGAAGTTGTAGTACAGTACAGTATTTAATTTACGGAACTCCGAGTAGTGTCAAGTTGTCAATGATGAGAAGGAGGAAAATTGGTTGATTCGAAAGGGATTCCGTGTAAATTCGGGTAAGAAGGGTTTTTGATTTAGCGAGTTAGTGCATTTTGTAAGTGAAACAAAGGATGAAATTCTTCGAAGTCTAAGCCAATTTTGTTGTGAATACCTCGCCTATTTTTTCGTAACGTACCTTTAAATTCATACGCATGAAATTCATTTAAAATTTCATACGTATGACATTCATTTAGACGATTCTTAGTTACGATTGGGCTATTTTTTGAATCGAATTGTTCCTCGAATTCGAAGCTGAACAGCTTACATGCCTGTAGGGTTTCAAAGCTTCCGAAATCGTAAAAATTATTCACTATTCTGAATCTCGATGCATGATGTATAATTTTAAAGATCAGTACTGTAGAACAAATTGAATGTGATTACTGAAGAGAACTTCCAGTCACGTCAGCTCCGAATTCATGGACATGTTGAGCATAATTTCTGCCGATATCAATATTTTTTTTCCCTAGAAATTAAAAATATTTTTGAAATTGTTCTTGCGCATATGGCTTCCAGTATTGGACATGAGAAGACACGCAGAAGCCTTTTTCATTTCGTATCAACCTCATTGCGTGGATATTTTGCAGGGATATATTTTTGCATGACAAGTTTCCATCATTTCTGGTGACGAGCATATGAACCATCGCTTGTGTTTCTTTTTCTGAACTCTCAGTTATACGCTTGTCTTCGAGGCAAGTTATAGATTTTCACTTTCTTGCATGAAGTACTGTAGAAGTGTAGATGATTGTAATGACATCCATCGGAGCCCTGCCGAGAACAATTAAAATCTTCCCTTCAATTGTCATTTTCGGGCGGTTGTCCTTGAAATTCCGCGCGGAGGTTTTTTCCCCCGCATGCGCGGGCACCTCACTTGACGGGGGGATAGCATCAAAGCAGCTGCGGGGTTTGTCGTCTGGAGAACCCAAGGTTCACTGTCGAGTCTGGAGCATGTACCCGCTGAGGTCGTATTTGGGAGTGCGCGTGTCGTTTCTTTTTCTTTTTTTTTTCTTTTTTTTTGAATTCGTCTCTGTACAGGTACTGGGTTAGAGTGCTGAAGATTTGTGTGCCGGGCTCCAGGGACACGGGCGACAGCGATAAGACGACCGCGCGTGCCGGCGATGAACTTATCTCTCAAATCCTGGAGACACGAAATTTTGGAGGCGCCTTCAATCTTGAATAATGGAGCGGATTCGAATCACGACTCTTCGCTTCTCCCATCTAAATCAAATTCAGCAGATTAGTCAGGTGGACGCTCTTCACAACGAAATTCAAGGGACCAGAAAAAGTTTCTTTTAGAGAGAATTTTTGTTGTGGAGAACCCGTATAACATGGGGAGATAACCTTATGAAAAAAAAAATCGTTGTCCACCTGTACGTTGATGGTTTCCCAATGTTACTTTACTGCGGTACTGTAACATTATGTCATGGAATATTGCTGTACACGTAAAGAAATAATGAGCTGCTTCTCTGTGACAATCGAGTTTGCCAAGGTCAGGGAAATCCCTCGAGTTGAAGATATCTCTGCAGACAAAATAATTGTTCATGAACTGGATATATCTAAAATATTTCTTGCTCACAATTTAAACTTTTGATGTTATAGCAACAACATGTTCCTTTTAAAGGTATGTGTGGACTAAGCACAAGGAATCAAATAAATTCCTCCTTGCAGTGAAATGGTTTTCTTGTCCTGGAAAACTTGATACAGTATTAATGTATGGTAATCAACTTTTGCCCCCCCCCCCCCCCCCAATTTTACATCAAAATCCTCTCCGTTTCAATATTTTTGTTGCACGCTCAATCGCAGTATATTTTGGGCGGAGTCTATTCTGATTTTGTTCTTGTTTATCTCTTCAACATTCGTCTGTGGGAACTGGAACGATTCCTTGAAAGATGCGGTGATTTTGAATTAATTCTTTATGTAGTACTGTATTGTACTGATCTCTATCAAACGTGTAAAAACAGCTTCTAAGAAAAGTCAGCTTTCCGAAGATGCCATCGTATACTTGTCAATTATTCGTCTTTTCGCGTAGAAAATACTGCGCAGTAAACTCCATTTGTCCCCGAATCGACGAATAAAGCCATTTTGAATTTTCAAAATCGACCTTCCAAATAATCAGCAAGTTGGCAACGCTTAAAGAATCATTTTGCGTTTATGTGTAAAGAATTTCAAGTTGGTTAGTTCAGTTGGGCTTCAACTAAGAATGCCTCTGATGAGAATGTTCCAACTTCCGGTGGCTTGTCAAGAAATTTCACTCTCACGTTTCCTCTATTTCACCATTCTGTCGGGGGTACATTATTTTCAAGAATGCCCTCTTGATGTGTCCCAAAATGCACCCGGATCTTATCGTATTTCACTTCAACCCTGTACAGTACTGTGATGTGGGCATCCCTGCTGGAATAAGCACAGAAAACTCCGAATTCTGGCCCCATGAATGGTGCTATGTTTTATGATACAGTACAATAGTACAGTAATGTACAGTAGTTCGCGTAAAATTCGGAATGTGCCTCAGAGCAAGACGTGACTTTATGTCGCCCAACTTCCGACGAGAGGTTTACGTCGCTGCTGGTGTACATCATCGACACCCGTGAGTCCTTCTCGCAGGCATTCACTGGAATGTGCCTCCACGGGTTCGGGCTATGCTGGAAATCCACGTGCGCTTTGCTCCGGGTCGATGATTCCCCCTGTTGCGCGCGCGTGCAACGAAGCCTTCGTGCGCTGGATATCACGAGTATAACGACGCCATTTCTGGCTGGTTAATAAACTCCGCTCACGTGTCCGAGCCGAAAAGCCGCGTATCTTCGTCCTCTTGACAATCGCCGGAAAAACAAAAAAAAAATAAAAATAAAACGGAAAAGCTTTGAAGCTTGGGCAAGAACGAGAAAAAAGGGAATTTATATACGCTGCATTCGCAATACTGTACATAAATATACTGAGTATGTGTAGAGAGAAATGATGGCCCACCCGGTCTCATGCGTCACCGCTGATGCGCTTAGACTACGCGTGTAACGGAGCCGCCTTCGCGTTGCGTGGCTCGGATTACATCGTGCGTAATGTCGACTACAGTCTCGGCATTCCATCTCGGTTCACGACGTGTCTCTGCCCGGGATTCTTTTCCCGTGCGGAAATTTATCTCGAGTCCGATCCGACGAGAGACTTGACCCCGTGAATCGCAATACGGCACAGGTGGGGCCTCTCTGTTTAACGAAATTCGAGAGACCCGGAAAACCATTTGTTGTAGAGAACCCCTATAACCCCATGGGACCATAAGAAAAATAAAATCGTTGCGCAGAGAAAATCCTTCTTGGATTATCATCAGGCTGGTAATCTAGATTATCTAGAATGACGTTGATGAGGACACATTTATCCTCATACGTTTGTAAATTGTAATAGAAGGTAAATATATTGTAATTAAGGTATAGTAATTATTCCATTTAAAAATGAGAAGATTCTCTCTCAAATTAGTTTCGAAGGAACCAGAAGCAAAAATTCGTTTTAGAGAGACTTTATGTGCGGAGTCCTATGATAACCTGTAGAGAAAAACCTTCGGACTACTAAATCTTTACACAAATAAAATTGTTCTTAGATGAGCATTAGGCTGATAATCCAGAATTTTTAGATTCTAGAATGACGCAGATGATGACAAATGCCAATTATTCTCTCACCCATGTATTGGGAGGTAATCGGTCTATTTAAAAATACGAGAGGACTCTCTTCGCAACTGAATTCAAGAGACCAGAAAGAAATTCGTTGTGGAGAACCACTAAAGCATAGAAAGAGAACCAAATGTGACTAA